GTTTGGACAACTCATGTAGCGTGTTTCAAGGAATTATTGATGAAATGTTTGATCGTCAAATACTGAAAACATCTTCGGATCCGACGTATGACTTTGGCAGTCGCCGTTGCAGATTTAAAACCTTCGTTAGATTTATGGCATGTGAGAGCGAAAATATGGAGAGTTTTAATATTTTCTGACAATAAACCATCAATGGCGATATTTCCGATTCAATCTATCGTGAAAGGATGGTGATGGGCTACTACAAATTTGTTAATGGCCGCGCTCTGCGATTGAGCTAAGGTTTGCTTTGTTGATGAATCCTTTCGTGAAGCTAACAAGATTACTGTTGAATATTAATCACCGCGAGGTAAGGGGTTAAAGTCTCAACTCTCTGGTAACTGAGAGAATGAAAAATAAATTTCGCATCGCAATGAATTCTAGTGTAAACTTCTCAAACGTTTAAACACTTTCAAATTGAGCACCAGAATATATTTGCAAGAGAGAGCTGTCCGCTGTTTACCGGTACTGACTTTCGCAAATCATCCCAAAGAAGTTTCATTTAAAATACTAATGTCAGTTATGTCAGCTTTATAAAGCAGTCTCGTATCATCCCAATCACCTTTTAATACGTGTGCAGTTCTTTTTTCCGGGCGAGGAAATTTTCTATGCAGATTTACGGTGACCACGTCTTTTGAACTCTGCCTTAAATTTCTTTCTCTACGGTTTCATCAGTTTCACGTTTGAGCTTGAAGAGTACACGGAAAGTACTTCGAAACGCAGAAGTAAAATATTGTGCGAGCAAGAGTTTGGTTCACAATTTTAAAAGCCTAAAATGATTTTTGCTTTTCATATCATTGTTAAGCGTGGCCAAGTCACTGGTTTTTGGTTTGAAAGATCAATTCTAATTTCCTCGTTCCCGTGAGTTTAAAAATAACCGCCGTCGTAATGTAAGGTAAATTAAAACGACATACTATATAGAAAATAAAGTCTGAAGTCGTGGGAAGGTAATCAGCAAAATACCATAGATATCAAAGCTCTGATCTGAAAAAAACCCTATGTTTCATTTACTTCTTCCATCATCAAATAGACGAACGGCAGCGGCTAACATTTGGCAAATTCTATCGTAGAATTCTCGTTGGCTAATTGGTCATTTTAACCCATCGACTTCATTTTCCGCGTGTGTGTTAAGTTCAAAACCACATTTGACGTCAATAATTTGATTGGAACAATAGCTGCGGACGATTGAGCCTAGAGGTTCCGCGACGTGTGTTACTTAATTTTGGCCTTGAACTTTGACTGAGCCGCAATATCGGAATATTAGGTCTCTTCTGCGCAGTGAAGTAAAGCCAGAGAACACTGAGGCTAAACAATTCCGTCACATTATTATACCGCAGAGATATACTTAATGAAATGGAGTGCCAGGGTGTCCTCCAACAAGGAAGTCACTGGTTTTTGGTTTGAAAGATCAATTCTAATTTCCTCGTTCCCGTGAGTTTGAAAATAACCGCCGTCGTAATGTGAGGTAAATTAAAACGACATACTATATAGAAAATAAAGTCTGAAGTAGTGGAAAAGTAATCAGCAAAATACCATAGATATCAAAGCTCTGATCTGAAAAGAAACCCTATGTTTCATTTACTTCTTCTATCATCAAATAGACGAACGGCAGCGGCTAACATTTGGCAAATTCTATCGTAGAATTCTCGTTGGCTAATTGGTCATTTTAACCCATCGACTTCATTTTCCGCGTGTGTGTTAAGTTCAAAACCACATTTGACGTCAATAATTTGATTTGAACAATATCTGTGGGCGATTGAGCGTTTAGGTTCCGCGACGTGTGTTTCTCAAATCTGGCCTTGAACTTTGTCTGGGCTGCAACATTGCAATATTGGGTCTCTTCTGCACAGTGAAATAAAACCAGAGAACAAACAAACAAACAAACAAACCAAGAAGAATATTACGTAAAGCCATTTCTTTTTCATACTTGTAAATGGAGCCTAGTGTCGCTGCTCTGATAGTTTATGGGCAAGGATCTTTTTCAATTCACGTTACAACGGGCTGTCAATTAGACAAAAAACCCTCTAAGTCGTTAAGGAAATTAAGAATAAAAAGTTAGCACCGAAGTACCATTGTTGCATTATGGATTGAAGAAAGCCAATTTAATTAAATATGTGTAAATTTAGTAGTCGAGGTTATTGCTGTGTTTGTATTTTCTGTTCATTTGATCTCTGCAATCATCACCAATGTCCTTAAAAGGGATAATTAATCCGGTGATTACGAGCAGGTCTTTGATTTGAAAACAGGTGATTCTTTTCGGATGGAAAGCAACAAAATATGACTTAATCTGATATCGTCCGGATCCCTTTCCGAAACCCTTCGAGATTTTTGTTTTGTTCTGTTATGACGCGAGAACTTTGCTTATAGACTTAACTTAGACCATTAAATGCTTACAGACCTAGATGATAACTAAAAAAATTAGTATTGGTATTGATAACTAGCTTAGCATAAAGTTTATTCTTACCTTTAAGTCAGTTGATTCTTCGCCTCGGAACGAACAAATAGCTCTAACTTTTCTGACTTGAAACTTCTTAATTTATAACTCCAAACAGGAATTCTTTCAGCTTATTGTGTCTTTTGTTGTGGTCAGTTTTGAATGCCATTAAAATAACTGTTTGCCACACGCATTGGTTCTTTATCGATCGATTCATCACTCTGGGAAAATACTTGATTTGTCTTTAATTTTGGAAAAGGCGGCTCTTAAAAAAAGGTTGCGGTTGAAATGATTATACTTGGCCTAATTTTATTTGCATTGCCTTGCAGTTTTCGCATTCAAGGTTACTTTAGAAATCTAAAGTACCAAAAGACGTTGACTTAAATTTATTCTTGGTTTATACATCAATTAAGTAGCTTTGATTTTATCGTTGTTTGAGTTTTGTACGTGCATGTCCTCCAACAAGGAATTAGGTGCCAGGTTTTTGTTCCATTATCATTATTATTATTATTATTATTACTATTTCCTAAACGTCTCAAGTGGAAGAAGAAGTTGAAGAAATATAACCCGAGCAATATTGACAAATACTGCCGGTTTTTGTGAGTGGCACTTCAAGTCTCCAAGCCCTTTTTCCTTTATTGTACCCGCTATTTTGATTATTTATCGAAAAAACTCTAATGACTAATTAACTTATTGTTTGAGCTTAGTGCATGGATGTCTTCCAACAAGGAACTGGTTAATTGTTTAAGGTCAATACTATTTTCCGCGTTTACGAGATCAATAATAAACGCAGTGGTAAGACCAGAAAAATTAACAAGATATCAATAAGCAGCTCTCAAGAGAATGTAAAATAAGGTCGAAGAATAATAACCAGAGAAATTACTGGTCAGTAAGGTAAAGAATTATGAAAGACAATATTTGAATTTGGTGTTACGTTTTTCATTGGCTGTAATGGACGCAGATGATCTATTTTTTCGATGCTACTGCGTAAACAAGTGTAAAACAAGCTATGACGTCAGATGCTGACCTGCCCAATTTGCCGTCAATCTCCCTTTGGGTTGAGGCGAGCGGATGGAGAGACTAACTCTCTGTTTCTCTTAATTCTGAATCATGAATCGACAGTTGAAAGTTTTTCTCAAAACTTCTGTTGCATTGTAGAATAGGATCATATTTACGATCGATGGACTAATGATTTCGTGTTGCAAACCAGAAATCAGTGATTAAATTAAAAACACTTGTAAGCTTAAGAGTCCGCTAAATCTCACCACGCCCTTTGCTTTGTTAATTTTTCTCTGCTTTGTTCCAGCTTACCACAAGGAACAGAGATTTTTTTCCTTTGAGGTTTTCCGCCATCGCCAAAGCCACGAAAAAGCCTCACCATGGCTATTTATGGCTTAACATGAAGGCTTTCTTGAGCTTTTGTCAGTGGAGCTATCAATAAATCTCAATTTCTTCTTCTACTAGTGCCACCAATAACACTGAATCTGACGGGGCTGTCAAATTAATTTGGCAACCTCCACAGAAAATAAAAAGCTATTTAGAAACAACTGCATCTTAATAGGAATAAACCTTATACATGAGCACCTTAAACAAGGAAGATAAATATGATAAATTTCAAAATAAACTGACTCTTCGCATTGATTTTTTATTACTTGACGTTCAATAAGAGCTACCAGAAACCCCTGCTGAGCTAATAACAAATGAGCTTAAAAAAAAATGATAAAAGGGTTAAGAAATTTCTGGATGTTATACGTTGCTATGTAGCAGTGATTTGAGTGTTGCAGGTCGAGGATTGTTTACGCAAAACGCAAACATCAATTTACGCAATCATGAGAAGAAAAAAGAAAAGCAGATCCATGGTAATGCTTCGCCAAATCGTCTGGTTGATTAATTTTATGAATGAATCGATAGAAATCTTTGTTCAAGCCAGTAACAGACGTCAGCCAGCCAGTTGACATAACATCATTCTTGGAAAGTACATCACGCAAAACCGATTTTGCATACACTAGTTCATAGCTGCTTGACGGATTGTTAGGTCATTCGTGGACAGGATTCTTCTATCTCTGTCTACAGGCACGGTCCGATGGCGCTTCGCCGAATCGTCAAACTTTTGTCATTTTTATACTTCCATCGACCGGTTTTTCTCAGGCACATAAAATGGAAAGACACCGATATATATTGTCTTTCTTCTATCGCATATCTTGGTGAAATGAGATAATCTTTCGGAATGCTGGGAATCTCACCCACTGGGTTCGAGAAAAAGGAGAGCAAAATAAGGATAAGTTCTAATTGCCTTTATTTCTCCTACAACCTTGGGAATATTTCTTTTGTGAAATGAGGCAGTTCTAGACTAGCAAGGATTTGATTTGGATTTCAGCCATTTAATTCGAAAGAGAAAGAGAAGAACGTAGATAAATAAATGAGTTAGTAACAACTTTGTTTTTCCTGTAGATGCTGTAACTCTACCACAATTTTCTATGGTATTTTAAGGGAGTTAAAAGTTTCCCCAAGGCAATCACATCCTCCGCCATCATTAATTACTTGTTCAACCTCACTAATTGGCGCCCACGCTGGCCAGGAGCACAAAACACGAGCTGGTTGACTAACCAAAAAGTTTTGCATGAATCTATTTTTTCCCTCGGCTACTTGCAGCTTGTTTTATTAACCACCTGCACGAAGGAATTTTTAACTTCTTGCGGCTGAAACTTATCATTGCTGATTAATTTCTGAACAAATCACTGCGTTCATAATACAATAACCATATTCTACAGAGCCCATTATAGTAATAATTGCCTTGAATATTGAATGATTATCCGTCCGCGATCGTAGAACCATTGAAGCAATGTTGTCTTTCTTTTGTAGAGGCTGAAAAAAACCTGGCTGCTCTTGGCAGTAGCGGACGTCAGTCAGGTGTTAACTTGGAATTAATCACGAAAACGTAAAACGCGAAACAGTTAAATACACTCATTACTAGCTGCTTTGAGGGTCGATAACAGCCTCTGTGGGGGTCGTTAATCTTGGACATATTTATTGCTGTTTTGTTTTCCATAGCCATTGTATTCCTCATTTTACCCAGGCACATTCTGTATGGGGTTCTACAGCCTGCCACCGCTATCATAAATGTGTTACAGACTTTTCAAACTCACGCCTTTTAATATTTTGACTCAAATATGAATTCCATAGTTAATATTCTTGGAGCAAGTAAGATTTTCATACCTCTGTTCCAGGGCACGGTGGCGCTTCACCGCCGTGTGAACGAATTGGCTGTGATTGCCAAACTTTTGTTTGTTTGTTTGTCTCTTTTGAAGCTAAATGGACATTTAATCTACACAATTTTATCTCCGGTCACCATTAAATGGCAAGGAAATTCACCGTGAGTAAATCAAAATGAGTTTTTAATAGTTGCGAGAGTTTCTTTGTTTGTTTTCAAGGTTGATAGAGCGTATCAACCTTGTCTCTTTTCTAACGTAAAATGTTAGTCAACTGAGTTAGTTTCAGACACGTTGGAATTTAATGAAGATGTAACTCACTGATTTCGAAGCAGGGAGAGAAGAAAAATAAGCAATGTATTATCGGCAATAAGTTTTTTCCTTTAAATGCCTGAGGGTAGGGCTATAGTTAATTTTAAACCCAACGACATTTTTAGAGTATTCTCGGCAGGGAGCTCGAGTTGAGAGTTCCTTAAGGCAATCGCATTCTCTGCAATCATCCTTAACGTACAACCGTGGCGCTCACGCTAGCCAAGAACACGAAACACGAACCGGTTGATTAACCAAAAGGTTGCACATGAGTCAAATTATTCACCGGTTTTACCGAAAGAGGAAATCGAAAATGGAGTGCAAAGTTCAGTTGGTCTTTAATGACAAGGGACGTGTTACTGATGCCTGACGAAAAACGATTGGGAGATCCACGAACCAGTAATTTTGTGTCTGACTAGGGTTAACGCGCTCACCCACAGACCTTTTTATTTATTTTTTGCTTTTTCAATCAACTTTACTGAACTGATGTTTTAAGAGGATCGAAGTGAAATTCAACTGTCTCGAGGTTGCACATGTGGCAAAGTGACTGAACGCTACAACAAGTTAAGGGTTAACTCTACAGTTGTATTCCCGGCTACTCACTTAAACCGGTGACCAATCATAAGCCTTTCTCTTCGTTAATTTCATCAAGTTTTCCAATGAACAGAAAATCGCTTTTAAACAAGATGCTTCCGGCGATACTGAGGCGGATAGTTCAGTTCACGCAGAGTATTGACACTTAATTTTAAGAGTGACTAGCATCTAATTTCTCCGCACAATATCTTCCCATTCATTAGGGTCACGAGAATAAAGGAAATGATCGTCAGCTAAA